GCGAGTAAATGTTAAAAGAACTACGCAAACAGACCAAACCCATTGGCTAGAATGCTGAGCCATTGCACCATAACTTTTTCGAGGATCTGAGTTCACCAAGCAATGTGATTGTCCGTTTACTTGGCATCTGGAAAATAAGATGGATAGCCAAATATCTACTGGTCCAATGTATTTGCGTATTATGTTGGTGCTTACCTGAAAGTAGGAATAAATCACCATAAAAATGTGAATACTGAATCTTTACCTAGTGCAACATGGAAGTTATATGATGTAAAGTAATGGAGTATAAAGTACTGTGTAATTGTGATGTGATATGGAAATAGTAAAATAGGGATTGGTAGTTACAAAAATGTGAGTGGGTGAATAGTAAATTTTGTAGATAAATGGGTAACAATGATTTATTTTCAATTTAAAAAATGTAGAGGGAAAGCGAGGAGAGAAAAAGAAAAAAAAGTGAGAAAGATGAATAGTGTATTTTTGTATTGGCGGATAGATTTTTTTTTTTTTTGACTTCCAATTGCAGACCTTCTGCCTAAGAGAGGCTAGAGAAACATGAAATTTAAGTTCACAAGTTTCAGTTTGCAATAAAAAAAATCTACAGAGGTTGACTATGCAAAAAGTCGATCACTATAAAAAGTGAAGCAATAGAAGGGTAACTTACAAGCTCCCATGCTTCAAGATTTCTGCCTGAACTATCACCCATTACCTTTCTGAAGTGCATATATGCAAATAACATTACAAAATCAGTGTATCATCATATCATGTACCTTGTTTAATGTGCATCATCATGTGGTTAGAAAAATAAATATTTAATTCAATAAATTAATTTAAAAAATAAAAATAAATATTATATGCTTGAACAGAACCTGCAGAACAGGCACCTCAATATTCCCCTAGCCTACTCAAAGTAAGCTCCAATTATTTTGCTAAAGCACAAGCACTTCTTTATAAGTAGAATTTTTCCTGACTTCTAATTACCTAATGAGTACCCAATCCTCAGATTTTAGATTCGTACAAGAGATAAGAATGTGAAAAGACAGAACTTGTAATTTTGAAAAAAAAAACTTTTTTTTTTAGAACTTTTTAAACTGTAAGGTTAAATCTCAAGGTAGTTCTATCACTAACCTAAGACTAAAAACAAATAATTGTATTATCTTACTGCGGATCAAGTCACAGAACAGGAAGATGTTCAAGTTTTCTCAGGTTTTCCCCTATAACATGTAGCAATGCATGAGTTGAATAGAAACTTACCTTACTCCGTGATGTACGTCACGGTGGTTGCAATGTCCCGAGATACCATAATCATCAAAAGTAATGATCTAGATAAGAAAATGTAAAAAGCTATGATGGACAAAGATTGAACTACTATTGCTGAATAACATACTAGTTGATTGGTGGTGGCAGAAGGATTAAAAGAAACCAAAAATTTCAATTCTCAACACGAGTCCCATATACAAGAAGTTATAGGGGTAATTTTACCAAGTCAATGGAATAGGTACGTGCTTCATTATCAATCACGCTTGCTAGTAAATCCCAGTCCCACGCTTTGCCAAAGCCATCCTAATCAATAACCATTCAAGTCATATTAGCAACCTCCACATGTACATCGCGCAAGAAACATGTTCTCAATTAAGAAACATCTCAGGAGAAGAACCTGCAAATCTGGATGGTCCAGAATGTTTACTTGTTGTGCTGGAATCTGACATTAGTTGAACCCAAAGTAATTGTATCATAATCAACAATCATGTGCGAGGCAAAAAAATTATCACCAATAATTTTCACAGAAAGATGAATTAGTAATATAAAAAAGGATGACCTTGAGAACAGCAGAAGCAAGGTAAAGCTCTTCTTTTCTAGTACTACCCATGCCATCTGCATTGCCTGCTACAGCAACACAAGTATCTTATATCTCCGAGAATGTGAGTTAATTCTAATTATTTTGGAAGATAAATCAAGTTCCTCATTAATGTAGAAAGTTCAATTTCCACGGGAAAAAATGGTGAACATAACTTGTGTCATGACTCACGAGTTAGCAGATAGAAAATTCTGAAACTGAAAGCAGGTCTTTATATCTTCTAATCCTTATTCTTTTAATAAATAAAAACCACACTTATAAGTTTATGTTTTGATATACATAAACTCAACATATTATTCCAGATTGAACTCTGTGATAGCTTCAACCCTTTACAATTTTTTCACATCTTTTGGTCTTAAAAAGAACCTTTTAAGTTATCAACCTTTGAGTAAGTTAAGCTAACAAGTCGCACAATCTCAAGGCAAAAGAGGTTCTACAAATTCTCAATAATAGGAACACAAACATACAGAAGCATACACTTCATAAATATTAAGGGCATGCTTGTTTATAAATTATTTCACCCACTTTCAATTCATACTCAAAATCTAACTCAACTTTAACTCAATCTCATTATTTTTAATATTATTCATATAATTAAATAATACAAACCAATCATTCTTACACATCACATCAACTTTAATTCATTATTCATCCACCACATAATCTTAACTACCTATCATTTCTAATCATTTCCAATCATTTATCTCCTACTTTTACATCAAATCAATTTTAATCATTTTATTTTAAATATTATTTTAATACATTCTCAAAATCCCACTAACAATTAACCATACTACCTTTTTCAAAATTAACTCTAGTTAACTAAAATAACTCATTTTGAATGAAATATTTCATAAACAAGCACGCCCTAAGGTAATCTAGTGGCAAATACCTATAAATTCTTTCATTGACTATAGGGGAGAACAAAGAGCATGTGACATGAACAGGATTACCTGTTGATATGCACAAAATGTGCAGATTATGCCCTCTTTGAATCAGGTAGTTAATAACAGGAGCAAAGAACCTGCAACACAAAGCAAAGCATCTTTATTTCCAACCTTGATACTGCCAATATGTTTTGACTGATAAACAAAAGAGAAGAAAAGGAAGGGAATGAAAGAAACACAATTAAAAAGAAGATTTTCTTCCAAGAAGATACATGATAAGAAAACTCTACTTCGAACGTGGCATTTGATCACATTTTTCAACCATAGAAAACATCATGAGGTCATAATTTCAATGACAAGAAAGAAAACATGCGATTAGAATTAATCTATAGATCCTATCCAGAAGTGGACGACCAGAGGTGAACTCCTAAACATGCATTATTCATCACATTTTCATTCTCGATCAAGGTATAAGCACCAGCCAAAATACTCATCATTCTTGCAGCACACATACATCATTCAGGCAGCCAACGACTTAAAGACATTCGATAGTTGATCTTAGACAGCTGAACCAAAACTGAGAAAAAAAAAGTTCACCAACATCAACACACTTTAATGCCGGAACAAAACAAACGAGAACACAAAAATCATCATGTTCTAGAAAAAGCTTCAATGTTGGAATTTTCAACCTTACATGGACTCATCATCTGGATGGGCAATAACCAGCAACACATTTCTCCTTCGACAGCTCCCTGCTGGCATCATCCATAAGAATCAAGAAGAAACTTATAAAATCATCATTATCAAACGAGAAAATCATACATGAAAGCAAAAAATGGTCACAATCATCATGAAGCGTACTTCTAATTTCTGCAGCTTATCTCAACTGGCCGCTAATTACCTTCAGTTAAGAATGCCGCTTTCATGGCAGATGAAGATCCATGGAGGATTTTACAGAGAGAAGCAAACCAGATCACCAGCACTGATAAGATTAATGCTATCCACGGCATTGTAGAACTAATTACAAGGAAAAAAAAAATAAAAATGTATGCTATGCAGTTTATTCTCCATTGGACATTTTATCGAGCACCTTCAGCTCAAGAAATGTTAGAGCCACCTTAGAAGAAGAAAGACATTTCTAATAAATGATATAATGTTTGGTAGGGTTGGTATCAGTTCGGTTACCCCAACAGATAAGGACAAACTATACCGAACCACCATTTTCGGTAACAGTAAACTAGGGAACCGAAACCGAAACCGACTTATAGACAGTAACCGAAAACTCGGTTCGGTTTTGGTTCGTACCCAAAAAAACTGACGTAGCAAGAATGAGTGCAGTGGGCCTCCAACACTTACTGCAGCCCAGTGGGCGCCAAGCCCATTACAAATCTGTAATGAGAAACAACAGATAGCAGACTAAGCAGACTAGCAAAGTGCCCAAAATATGATGCCCAAATATACAAAATGCACTTTGTTCTGCATTCAAATTTCAATAACATTCAGATTGCAGGCATAAAATACGGAATACCAGCCCTAATTTTACAAGAATGAGAAAAAAATACCAGCCGACTCGACTGACAAAAGAGACTCCGATGAGTGACAGAAGCGAAAGGGTAATCGCGGCTCCAGTTGACGAATTGCGACTACCAGTACCAGCCCCACGACCCCTACCTTCGAGCTCGGCTTTGTGAATGAACAATCGCGCGCGAGATGATCAGTGAACAGTCGCGAATTGAGAACTGAGGTGTGAAATTTATGAATCAGTGGAATCAAAAATTCAATCGTCACTCCGGTCTCTCAGTTTGGCGTTGCTATTTGGGTTTGGAAATTTTGGGTTTGGTTGGGACTTGGGCCATGGGAGCGGGATTTGGGATTTTTGGGTGAGGAATATTATTTTGGGTTAATTGCATATAAAATCCTAACATTTTGTTTAATTGCAAATAAAACTCTACTTTTTCAACTTTGCAACAAAATACGAATACCAAACATTTATTAAGTATTGCAATTTTGTCTCAAAATCAATTTCTAGCCAAGGCACGCTGACATGGTTGATAGGAAAATTGACGTGGCACTCAACATTCTAATATCAATGCCACATCATCATACACATCAGAATCCATGTCACACTTTTAATCCACATCATATTTATTTATTCTTCCTTTAATTGTTGTTTTTTCCCCATCTATCATTATATAAAAAGAATAACCTTTTTATAAATTTAGCAAGTTTTTTCCGTCAATATCATTAAATGTATCCTATATATAGTAATTGTTGGTCAATTTTGAATAAGCAAAAAAATCGGCTGTGTATATATCTGTTTTTTTTCCTTTTTTTGGTACTCAAAAACACGTAGTATATATCTGTTTTTCTTTTTCCTGTTTTTTTGTACTCAAAACCGCCCGCCAGTAGTATCTGTTTTTCTTTTTCCTGTTTTTTTTACTCAAAACCGACAATAAATATTTGTATTTCTTTTACCTGTACTCAAAATCTCATCCTTTATTTAAAAAAATAAAATACGACCCATCTCGGGCGCTGCTAATTTTTTACTAATGTTTTTACAAATATTATAAACTAATAATACATTCTCGATAACAACGTAAAAATATAATAATAATTTTGAAATTCTGTGTAATCAAATTTTGTTAGAGGAAAGTAACACCATAAATTCGGTATCATCTGAATGTCTTTATTAAATTATGCTTATAATATTTTAGATATTTTAAACAAATTGTTTAGACATTTTTTTACATATTCGTCTATATATACATATATATATATATATGTATACACACATATATATAATTGATGTTAAATTTAAATATTTGTAGACATGTTTTCTCTACAAAACAATCTAGAAAAATCTTTTTTACACAATATTAAATTCAAATTTTTTTAGATATATTTTCCTTCTAAATTATTTAGAAAAGTTGTAGGTGACTTCACATCTTGCAAATATAGAAAATTAAGAATACTTTTACATATACTAATATAACATTTTAGGTGTTTTAATATTAAACATCAAAATTTTATATTCTCTTATACAAAATAATGGAAATTTTATTTTCTCTTATACAAAATAATTTTACATTGTTTGACCCCGAATCTTTAATTTATAATTATTAAGTATTGTTTATCCTCCTCTTTAATTTATAATTATTTTTTGTCTTCCTCTTTTAAAATAGAATCAATAGTAGTTTCCACTTAGTAACTCAAACTCGAGGTCTATTTATAGTATTGTAGATTTAATATTGTTTCCGTGCATCGCACGGGGTACACACTAGTTTTAATTTGCAGACCCATTTTATTTTTATCAGATAAAAATACAGAACAGAACAGAGCATTTAAAAGGAACTCATCCTAGATTCAATTCAAATGCAATTAGAAGGAACAAATCCCAGCTCACATTAAGCCTTTTCTGTATTATATGAACTACGATACCATCAAGAAAAAACACAGAGCATTTATTGTCTAATGAAAATGTAGTGCAGAGTGTTAGTCATCTCTATCAAAGACACTTTACCCGTGATCACATAGCCTTACAGGAAAAATGAAGTAAATAATACAATGCATATACATATACTGCACAAAACTGGTCAAAAACTTAAAAACAAACAGCCAAAACCACAAGCACCCAATTTATTCCAAGAACAAAAACCTGGAGCTTTTCCGCCTACTGTATACCAAAGCAATTTGCTAAGAATTATTTTTCAAACACACACATAGCCGTGAAAATGTAGTGCAGAGTGTTTGCCATCTCTATCAAAGACACTTTACCCGTTCTCCATTTAGGGTTCTGTTGCTCATAAGATTTCAGGGATCTTGTTCTGGAGTCGAAATGAATTCCTCAAGCATAGCACCACTCAATTTTGGGGTGAAGAATCCTCAAGCAGCGGCAGATGCGCAGCAACTTTGGGTGAAAATATGAGAAATTGATCGAGAAAGGAGGAGAAGGGCGACGCGATGTGCGATGTTCTGTTCTGTATTTTTATCTGATAAAAAGAAAATGGGGCAGCAAATTTAAATGGAGGAAAAACAACAATTAAAGGAAGAATAAATAAATATGATCTATATCTATATATATTGAAAAAGAGAGGTCAATAAATCATTTGTAAAATTTTTTAAAAAATAGTGAGTCAACCATATTGAGAGTCTCTCACTGAAAACCTAATTCCCAAAACCCACCCGCCTCTTCCAATCAATCTGCCGATCGCCTTCCCCGGTGACTTCTAAGCTCCGGCCAATGGTCATCTCCAATCGCTCGAATCACGCCTGACTCGCGCTCCTCCGATGTTGCTGCAGGTGGTCAGAGCTGGGTGGTCGGGGCTCGGTTTCAGATTGGATCTCGCAACGTGGTGCGGCTTAATGACGGCGAACGGCCTGCGATTTGGTTGCCGGCCGGTCCCCAGCTGGAAGTCGTCAACAGCGAGATTCGCCTCCGGTCTCCGACATGAAGACTCCTCTCGTTGGCATCGCCTTCTCCGGTGGAGCTTCGGGTGGAGTTTGGTCTCCAGTTGCCGGCGATTTGTGGTGGCGCGGTGCGTGGGTTTGTGTGTGGAGCGGGGCTTGGGCAGCGCAGTGGTGGGGCGAAGCTTTTGCTGGGTCCTTTGCCATGGTTGCCGGAGCTGCGACGCGCCTCTCCCTCCCTCCCTGTCGGCTAGTGGTGATAGGCGGCGGGGGATTTGGTTCTTCCGAGCTCTCTAGTGGTGTTAGATGGGATCGGGTGGATCGGGTGGGGGTTGGTTCTTGTTCGCTCGTTTGGAGATGGGTCGATGCGGCGATTGATTCGGGGTTTGATTTTGATTACTGTATAGGCTTGATTGCAGTTTCGGTAGTCGATTCTCTTGCCTGGATTGTCTTGTGTCGATTGTTCACTATTGGTTAGGGCTTACTCGTTCGCTGCGGAAGGGCTTTTAGATTAGATAGTTTAGTGTTCTAGTGTTCGTGTTTTTTATGTTAGTGTTTTGTGTCTGTATTGGTTTGTTCTGGTCTGGTATTTTAGGTTTGGGTCACTTGGCCCCTGTGCGAGGGATTACTCCGTTGGAGTCGTCCCACATTACCTCGTTTGGGGTCGTTCCGTAGTTAGGTTGTTGGTGTTGTGTTATTGTGAGTTTTCTTTCTAGCGTTGCTAGTCGTCTCTAGGCGGTCTTTTAGACCTGTCCTCCCAGTTTTATTCAGCTGTTGGCTGTATTTTTCGGCCATGGGCTGTGTACTTTGCACATTTGTGCGTTTTTGTTATATAATATTTTATTGAAAAAGGTAGGTCAATAAATCATTTGTAAAAACTTTTAAAAAATAATGAGTCAACCATATTGACATACTAATTATAGCAATCTTTTAAAAATAATTTGTAGTAATTTAAAATGTATAATAATTAATATAATAAGTTGTAAACGTTTTTTAAGAATTCTAAACGCGGTTTACACAGGATTTTTAATTTTGCACATGATTCTGTTTGATTGAATTGATGCTTTTTTGTTTATATGATTTTGTTTACAAAATTTGAACTGTTTTGAGTGAGAGTTTGTTTTATAAATCTGTCACATTTTTAAAATCGATTTTGCTTAATATTTCTGATGTGTTTTGAATGCCATTTTTTACGCTTTTTTGTTTAATAATTTAATATGTTTTCGATGGTAAAATTTGCATGCATTTTTATAAATATGTGTTCACATCTTTTAGTTTTTTCTAACAATTATGTTTCAAAATCAAGGTTCTAAACATTCAGAAAACATCATTTTTTTTTTCAAACAATGCCGAAATATTATAGCAATCTACAATAAATTAGCATTGACATCCAGGAAAGAAATGATTTTTATAATAATATATACGATGTTGTTTAACAAAACTGACGCGATTTCGTTACGCAATTTTTTAACGCTATTTTATTCAACCAATCCTTAACATTATAGTAAAATACTATGATATACCTACCAAATTCATAAAAATAATTTATTTACAAACATGCAATATGTTTTAAAGAAATATAAATAGATATAAGAAAAATTGAATTGACCTAATAAACATTAAATATCGCTTCTTCAATAGGCCATTATTCAAACAGGATAATTATAACCAACAAAATATTTTCGAAATCAATAGGGATTCTTAGGACCTACTATTAGAGTATTTACCATGATTTCAAATACCTGTTTTTCGACTATTGTTATGCAAAAGCAAATAAGAGATAAGATTTTTGGGATTGTAAGAATCTCAAATACCAAAAATTTACAATATTCATTTATTTATTTATTTATTTGGAATATATCCAAATCTTCTTGAATCGTAGAAATGAATATGCATTTGAATTAAATCCCAACACTCAAATCGGATTTCAATAAGAAAATTTGGGTTTGAATAACATTGCGACATTTATTTGACTCTTAGAAGTTAGAATCCAAGCTATAAAAAATTCTCTTATTACTTTATCCACAAAGTTTGTTAGGATTCTCAAATCTCACCAATATATTTTGATTAAACATTCGAAATCAATAGAACCGTACTAACAAAAATAAAATGCATAAATAACAATGGGATTTTCAATAAAAAATAATATAGTCGGATATTTATATGGTGAATTTAAGAAAGAATTACCACTTTTTCAAATTTGAATAATTCAAAAATTTGTATGATTTATAGAATACAATATTCTATTAAATAATTTATAAAAAAACACGTGTAATTAGAGATGTCTTAATAAAAATTTTGAAAATTCAATCAAACGAATTTGGTTTTAAGTTAGATCCTAATATTTTGGTGATTCTAAAAAATCCATACCATTCAAAAATACCAATATTAGTATAGTATAGATATATACAAATTGGATTGCATATTTGGCTAACTTGGAAATTTGCAGAGAATATCACACTTTTCAAATGGTATATCCTACATAAAGTTAATGATTTTTTTTATCATAACCACACTATCTATAGATATATGGCGTATTGTTAGTATGGTT